AGAAGCAAAAAACACCCAGAAACTGCTGCCTGGAGTTTAGAGAGTTCATCCAAAAAAAAAACAAAAACAAACTGATGTTAAGACTCTCTTTATAAAAAGCCTCCTGACAACACATCCCAGATGACAGACGTAAAACTATTTAAATCAGGTTTGTGTCCAGGTTATGAAAGTGTTTCAGTAAAATCACATAAAATATATATCACAGGTCATAAATCTAGAAAACACTTACCGTCTTTGGTGGAGATTGTAGGTAGTTTAGTTTCTGCGTTCCTTGAGGTCGAGATGTTCTGTCGACCTTTGTAGATGTGACCGTCCTGTCCGACGATATCCACCTCCTCCGACTGACCCACACAAACACACACAAAGACGGCAGCTCATAGTTAAGTGAGGAAATAAAGCAGCACGTACAAATCCTGTATGTCTGTGATGGTTTATATTATCTAAGAAGAAAGTGTGAACATTAATCAGCAGCGTGAAAATAAGCCTGAAGTAATTATACAAGCTAACCTTCATCTGACAAGTTGATGGCCTATAAAAAAAAATAAAATTAAATTAAACAAAATTAGTCCAGATTATGGCGACATGTTTGGTAATCCAGTAACTACTTTCAGGGACAAATCGTGACTCTTCCTAAAAACAGCCTTAAAGAAACAGGTTTACAGTCTTTGTCACAATTTAAACACTAAATATGCTCTTTGTTCATTTTTCCTCTAACTATTAACAACCATCATACATACATCCATCCATTCATTATCTATACACCGCTTAATCCTCACGAGGGTCATGGGGGGCTGGAGTCTATCCCAGCTGACTCAGAGTGAAGGCAGGGGACTGCTGTTCAAGCTTCGATACATCCCATAAAACTGACGCTCAAACTTGGTTATAGAGAAAATGAACAGATTTAGTGTTTCGATTGTGACACCTTGACGGATGTTAAACCGATTTGGTTGTTCATTTTGCGTCTCCTTTTTCTTGTTTTGTGCTCATCTTTGTCAATTTTTGTCTCCCTTTTGTCATTTTATGTCAGTTTTGTGTTGTTTTGCGTGTCTTTGGAACAGTTTTGTCTCATTGCAATCATTTCGTTTTGTCATTTTGTGTCTCACTTTCATTGTTTTGTATCTCATTTTTCTTGTTTTGTAACAGTTTTGTTTTTGCTTTGTGTCTAGATGTAGGCGTTATGTCTCCTGTTTTTCTTGTTTTGTGTCATTTTGTGTCTCATTTTTGTTGTTTACTGTCAGTTTTTGATTGTTTTACATGTTTTGGGGACAGTTTTGTCTCTTTGTGTGCTCAAAGTTGGTTATAGAAAAAATGAACAAAAAGCAGATTTAGTGTTTAGGTTGTGACACCTGGATGGATGTAAAACTGATTTGGTTGCAGGTTTTAACAGAACTCAAATGTGTTTTTCAGCCCTGAACATTCCATGTGTCTGTCTGCTGTACTGATGAAGTTATGAGACTCAGAAATGATGGAAAAAGTCCAATAAAAAGGACTTGATGGACCTCTGTGTACTTCAATGGCCTGTAAAAAATATTCATAGTATGAAGGTAAAACTTTGCTTCATTAAATATACTAAAGTTACTGCAGACAAACAATCAGCTGATTCTGAGGCGGTTTGAGGCTCTGACTGATAACTTGTTCTCTTTAAATCTCGGTTCTGTACCTGGATCTTGGCGTCCTCCTCGGCTGCTCCGTGGTGCTTCAGCAGGTTGCTGCGTCTCTGGTTGGTCCAGGTGTTGGTGTGACTCCCCCCACAGCTCCGAGACACAACCAAGTGACCCAAGTCTGTCAGCTCAGAGATGCGATCGCTGCTCGGACACAGACAGACAAAAAAATCACCAGTGTTCATGCAACCAACACCTACTGAGACACACGACTGGTAGTTAAATATTTTTAGGTTTTCTCTAGTTTATTTTTATTGGCCATTTCTGCTGCATTTTCTGTTTCTCGAGCTGTTGTAACATAGTCAAATATATTTTTAGATTTCATCTTCTCGTGTCTTATTTGCTGCAGCAGCTTCAATTTAAATTAAAGGGCTGGTTCACATCTGTTCTTGTCTGGACCTCGATCATTAAACAAACTCAACAGTGTTTTATCAGCTTTGTTAAAATGTACAGTCATCCAGCCTTTTACATTCTCTTTATGAGACATTAAATACATCTTTAGCTGTATTCTACTTGTTGTATTTCTTGTCATGTTTCTTTCAGACCTCATCTGTATCCAGCTGCTGTAAATTTTAGCAGTGAGGGATCAATAAAGTTCATCTTACACCTGACATGACTTTTCCTCTTTTTATCAAACCTGCCAACATGTTTCAGAAGTTAGTTTCTCTGACATCTCTACAGTAAAGTCAAGTAAATATTATATATAAATATTATAATAGAAATATATCCAAGATATCCACAGGAAAAAAGATTGCGCTAAGCTATTTAAAACCGTAAAAACAAGCAGGAAGATCTTAAAATCAACTCTGAAATCCGCAGGAAGCCAGAGGAAGGAGAAGAATACTGGTGTTACACAACTGCATTTCATACCAACTCTAAAGTCTGACTCAGTTCAGTGTAAAAGTGTTTAAAGACTTGAGGCTTTGCGAACTGAGCAGAGTTTTAATGTCAAAGAAAAACACAAGAGCTGTTCTAGAAGATATAAAACCACCTGAAGTGGGGTTTTTTTTTTTTAACCCTCTGAACCCCAAAACCAGCAGATTTCTTTTTTCAAAGAATAACCAGAATGACACTAGTTATCATCCAAAAACCTGTATAAAAAAAAAAAAAATACAGCAAACTGTCAGAATTAGTCCTTGTGGTGTACGATTTTGTCTGGAAACCAAATCTAAGCTCAAAATCATGATATTTCATCAAAATCACTTTATTTTAAACATCTCATTCAAAAATCTGCCAAAAATAAATAGTTTGCTCCAACTAGATTTTGTAAAAAAAAAAAATTTAATTCTGAGCTCTTTAGTGCAATTTTGAAACCTTGACCTTAACCTTAGCTGTGACCAAAAATTCTGTGTTTTTAGAGGAAAATAAAATGTACTGGATGAACAAAATAAATGCAGAATGGCTGAACAACAGCACACAAAGGAACGAGTTGATGGAAGATACATTCAGCATAGTGAAGCATCTTCCTACAGCTGATGTGCAGAGTTGAGAGAAAAAGTGTGTAATGGCTACAAACACGGAAATTTAATATCTATGCTACGTAGTCACCATTTCTAATAATCTAGATAATTCTGCTATTGACTTAAACCTCTTAAACCTTACAACAAACAGAGAAAAAAGACTGAACTCTTCTGTCGAGTGTTGCTGATGTTCATAAAATACAACCTGGTCTCTTGATCACAGTGAGGACAAATGAGATGGGAGCAAAAAAACGGTCAGACACTGAGTTCAGGAGGTTCATAAGTGAAAATGAAAAGTTCACTTTTATTTTGTTCAGAATAATCAGTGAAATATCAGATTAATTGATGCAAGTGTTCTGTATTGGCAGGCAGAGTGAATGTGACTTCTTTAAGCTCCTCTGGCTGGACCTGACTCACTGCTGGCCTTCAGCTGGGTTCTGCTTCTGCTCCTCTAAGCTCTTTGTCAGCCTCTTGAGCGACTGCCTCCTCCTCTCTAAGCTACACACCTCAAACTTGTAGCGGTTCGTTCCTGGTTTCCGGCTGAGACGAAAGCACGGGTTTAAAGTCAGATCATTCCATCTTAAATATCAAACTTCATACTATTTCTGCTCCACCAGCTCTGATTTACCTGAAAGCTGCCCCTCTTAAAATGTGGACATTTTAGCTTGACACTTCAAATACTTTCAGGGATAGAAAAAAATTAAAATTACTCATCGACCCACTTTCAGAAGGCTTTTTTCCACTTATATAAATTTGAGGCTGTTTAAAGAACAATGTCTCCAGAACTATTAAAGATGTTTTTTCTCATCGTGTCATTAACTACTGAGATTTACAGAGAAACAGAAAAGGGCAACAACGGCACATAAATTGATCAGAAAAAGGCCAAAAAAATATCCGTTTTTTTTTGTTTTTTTTTTAAACGACCTCAATGGGTTGACAATATTTCTTTTGTGGTCACTTAATGTCTCCTTCGGGTTGTTTGGTTTGTCTGTGGCTGTTTTCTGTGTTTTTTGCTGTTGTTTCATGGCTTTTGTGGTCATGTTGTGTCTCTCTGTAGATATTTTTGTCTCTTTGAGGTCATTTTGTGGTATTTTTCTGTATTGATAGCTGCTTTGCTGTCCTTTCGTGTCTCTTTGTAGATCTCAATAATCCATGACTTGAGTAATTACAGTGAACATTTCTGGTTTTTATCTTTCATAGTTCCGGAGATATTGTTGTTCAAGCAGCCTCAAATTTCAATGTGTGTAAAACCTGCTGAAAGTGAGATAACAGGCAGTTTTAAAAAAATATATTGGGATATATTTGAGATATGAAGCTAAAATTATACAGATACCATTTTAAACATTAAGAATTTATGATAAATAAGTTTCAGGTAAAGCAGAGATGGTCGAGCAGGAAGACCTGATGATCTGACATGTAAATTTGTTTTGATTTTCTCCAGTGAGGGATCAATAAAGTTTCTCTTATTTTATGGAAGAACCAGATGAGATCCTGTCTGACTCCTGGATGGAGGTGAACTGACCTCCTACACTGCTGCCGAAGCTGCTCCAGAGCAGGCCTCGTGGACTGACGGGATGGAAACGCCGGAGAGGACGGCAGCGTCACCAGGTGCCTTTAATTCCCCGAAGAAAAGCCACAAACACAGCAGAAAGAAGTCAGACTATTCTGTGTGGTGAAAACGAACCTCTGTGTTGTGGTGTTTTTATCAACTCACGGTCCGGGGGTTTGTTTGACTATCGGCCGGTCGCAGGAGAGGCAGCGAAATCTTTCCACCAGCTGCCTGCAAGTAAACACACAAACACTCAGTCTTCTGCACAGGTTACATAAATCTGGATTTTCACAGTGTGAATGAGTCAGAGGTGATGTGCAGCACTGAGGAGGATTTCAAAACACATAAACATGAAGCCAAAGTCATACCAAAGGAGCTTTAAAGCTGCTGTAAATGATGCTACATTTAAAAGACACGATTACATGTCACTAAAATAAACGTATGGCAGCAGCTACATTAAAACCATTTCAAGCAGCCAAATAAAAGCAGCAGCGGCAGCTCTTCACACTTTCTTTCAAAAAACACAAAACACGAAGAAGAAACAATCTGAGGAGCAGCACAGAAATAAGAGAGTTAAGTGCAACATAAAAGATACGACATCTTAAGGTGTTAAATAACAACATTTTCCTTCCACCATACAGCCAATAAACACATCTATTGCCATGTATTTTGATAATCAGTTCTGTGATTTCAGCTTCTTCAGTGTGAATATTTTCTGGTTTCTTTCTTCGTTAATGACAGTAAACTGTATATCTGCCGTCACTTCTGTTGTTTACATGAGGTCATATTGAGGCCTCTGATTGGTCAGCATGCTTTCGGGTTACATCACTTGCTTTTGCACCTGACAGCAATTTAATTTTTGAAGACTTTTTTAGAAAAACTACACATGTACATATGAAAACTCACTTCCTGAACCCGGCAGCGTCCTCGTGCTCTGGGGCCTCCTGAGCCTGAAACTTCTCCTGGATGTTCTTCCAAAGATCCTCCAGCTGCTTCTTCACTGAGTCCAACTCCATCCTGTTCAGCTGTTTAATCACAGAAATGTTAAAAAAAAAAAAAAAAAGAGTTGGAAAAAAACCCAAACACTTAGGAGGAGCTTTGAAACAGTTCAAAACATTATTAATCTTTGATATACGTATTTTTTCTGTCAAATAAAGGGAAATATCTGTAAAATAATGATATTTTAGTTGATTTTATGACAGTAAAATCAGAACTGTAGTAGTCACGTTGTAAAAGAACAAGCTAACATTTCTAAAAATACTGATTTTTGAGATTATTTGCAGTTTTGGCCTGTTTTTTGTACAGTCAACATGTAAATTAAATTTTTTTTCTGTGACTCTTCTGGATATTATTTGTAATTTACGAAACAGGTAAAAATCAGTAAATTGACAGTAAGTTGTTTTTCTTTTTATGTACACCTTTTTTTTTTTTTTTTTACAGTGAAACGGTTCTGCAGGATTAGCTCTGGATTTTGTTTGTTTATCTTAATTACACATAAAATCTAGTAAAGTTTTGGGAGAAAAGTATTAATTTACATGTTTTTATATATATATAGGAATTTATATATATATAGGAAAAAAATACATTTAACCAGCGAATGACTATTTCACATTTTCTTTAAGATATTTATTGTTATGAGAAAGAATATATGTATATATATATATATATAGTAGTTAATAATATAATATAATACAGATTTTCCCAGTTTTGTCAAATTACAGATAAATAAAATCAAAGAAAAAAGTAATAATTTACATTTACATTTTTAATTTTTTTTTATTTAAAAAAATAAACAGGCCAGGTGTTTTTACAAATATTAATATTTTGTTTACCAAGGTTTTGAATTAGCAAAAATATTATTTTACAGATATTTGTTGTTGTCTAAAAGAAACATCATGTATATCAAGGATTAAAAAGGGTAATTATTTTTTCAGTAACTAAAAAAATTACTGAATGAAGTAATAATTTACATGTTGACTGTAAAAAAAAAAAAATCAAAACTGTAAATAATGTGTACATAAAAAATGTATTTTATAAATACCAAGTCGTTCTTTGATAAGGTTTGCCCATAAAATTACACTTTTAAAAAAATATATATATAAAATACATACATACATGTATGTATATATATATGTGTGTGTGTTTAAATCTGCTGAAAAGGTCGCAATTTTCCAGATTTGCTGTTTATTAAAGTTTTGAAATGTTACAGCATTCTGTCATCTACAAACATCATTTCTGGCACCTTTGCTGCCAGATTTTCATAGGATTTAAAAAAAACAAAACAAAAAAAAAAACAACTGTACTTAAGTAAACTTAGGGAAGATTAGAACAGTGTCCCTTTACCCAGGTTTATTTATACACTGTATATACTTTACATGGCACTTAGTGGTGTATTTATATATTTCATATGATGTTTAGTAGACCCAGCAGTGTGGCTGAGCTCTAACCCTGCTGACCTGTCTTTCCTGTGTGTCCTGCAGTGTTCCTGCTCTGCCTTCACTCTGCTGCTGGTTCATTCTGTTCACTTGGTCCTGCAGCTGATCGTAGTGTTGTAACAGAGAACTGAGCTGCCTTTCAACCTTCACCGAGCTGCTGGTTGAAGATGAACTCTCTGCTCGGTCATCTCTCTGTTCCTGTCCTGCCTCGTCCTGGAGGCTGACGGACAGCTGAGGGATCAGGTTCTGCATCACTTCCTCCAACGAGCCCCGCAGATCATTCAGCTGATGGAGGACCAGAAGGCCAGTGGAGTTAACGCTATCTTTAGGGCCGACAGTCTCAACAGGTCTGTTTGCTGCTGACTTGCTACATCTCTGAATTTACATCAAATTTGCATAAAAAACTCTGTGTAGTTAATAATTTAATATTTTTTTGAACAATTTACTGTTATTTTACAGATGTTTCTTGTTTTGTTAAATTACAGACAATACCAAGTGTAATCAGAAAAAAGTATTAAAATATTAATATTGTTGTTTCATGTGTGTGGGTGTAAAAATACACCATTTTTACCGTATTTAAATCTGCTAAACAAATATTATTATTTTACAGATATTTGCCTCTTTTTCACAGTTTTAACAGTTTTTCAATGTTATTGATTTCCAGCATTTTTCAACATACTGCTTCTGGCCTTACTGTCAGATTTTCACAGATTTTTTACTGAATTGTGTTTTTTACAGCGTGCAGCACTAAAAGTAAAAAATCTGAAACTTGAACACGTTACTTAACCGACTGCAACCTTTTCCACCTGACTGTCTTCTTGTCTGACCTGATCTTGGAAGTGTTGATCTGCAGTTTTCTCCTCACGTTGACCCTGTTTAACCTTCAGCTGCTCCAAATCCGCCTCCAGCTTCTGCACAGACCTCCTGAACATCAACATGAAATCCACATCAAAACTCATCCAAACTGGTCTAAACTCTCAGAGAACTGAGCCTCACATTCATGGAACTGATTCAGTCAAATTAGCTGCACTAGTCGAGGGGGGGGGGTTTAGAATTTACTCCATTATTCTACTGCAGTGTTTAAATAGCAGGACAAAACTAGAAACTCTGGATGTAATTCTCTCTGTTAAACTCTTCCTGCTTGCATGGGATGTTTGTAAAGCTTCTGCTACAGTCTGACTCCTCTAACCTGTGCAGCCTTGAGCTTACCTGAGGTAGGACACCTGCCGACTGAGTTCCTGATATTCTCTGCTGTCTGTTTCCACGCTTTCTGAAGCTGCCTCCGAGCCGGTTTCACTGTCTCGGCTCTTTCGGTTCATAAGCATGTCCTCCAGGTGGTCCAGCTTCAGACGGACACACAGTCAGAACCAGAACATGACGCTGAGGAAGCAGAAATAAACCGACTCACCTTCTCCCTGTCACTCAGCAGGCTGTCGATTAAAGCTCTGTGCTGGTTCAGCTGATGCATCAGGTGAGTCGACGCGTCCCGAGAACCTACATGTACAAAATCACATCAATTCTTAAGTCCAAGTCAGAGAAACAAAGTTTATTTTCTGAAATATGCAGCAGTTTACTGTCTGAAGATCAGCTGGTTTGAAATGTTTGTTTTCCTTTTAAAATAAGGTAATTAAAATGGCACCCAGACAAAAAGAACAGCCAGATTTTTAATTTTCCGATGGTCCTTGAATGTCTCATATGTGACCTGTGGTTCTGTCAGTTTAAAATTAACCAAAGACTGTGCAAGATGAAAAT